CAACAACAACAACAACAACAACAACAACATCAACATCAACAACAACAACAACAACAACAACAACAACAACAACAACAACATCTCTGCAGTCCTGGAATAAAACAGGATTAAATCCGCTCCACGCGCACGCGCTACGAAGACTAGCGTGCGTGCAGCTGGCTTGTGCAGTGTGTGCGCGTGATTGGGCGCGCGCTCCGCTTCCATCAAACCCGACATCCCATAATATGTACATTATGAACAAACACTGTCTCATGAACAAGCTGTCAATCACCCGGAGCGCGTGCACACGGTCTGAAGGACAGCAGCGACGGTGTCGGGAGCGCGCCTGCGGAACAAACCAAATCAAAACGTTGATGTTCTGCTGCGGCTCGGTTCGGACCCAACAGAACCTGATTCTGCGGCAGAGCGCGAACAAAGATGGAGACACTTCCGAACCGGACCAAAACGAGCCTCCGAACCAGAACCAGTTCTGGAACTCACCCCATCCCGACTCCGCATCTGCTGCTTCTTACCTTTAATCCTGGTTCCGGTTCGGTGCGGGCGCTGCTGAACTCCCAGAACCTCCCAGTTCCTCCTCCGAACCTCCTGATGGTCCTCCTCCTCTGCGGTTCTGACTCGTTTCCTGAACTGAGCTGGGAGGGAACGGGGACAATGGGAACAGTTCCGTTTGGAGCGACAAACAGGACGAGGTTCGGATGACTGACGTCATCAACAAACTGTAAACAACAACAGAAACAAAACAAACCTGGAGCTTCTTCTAAAAAATCATGCTTCAAATTTATAAACATGCTGATCTATGATATATTATTATATATATTTATTATGTTTATAATTAATAAACATCTTTTTAAACATTAGGATTTATAAACACGTTTATAATTTATAAAGATCTTTTGAAATTATAAGCGTTAAAAAAAGTTATAATTTATAAACGTGTAAAACCCCAGGACATGTAAATTGTTAGATTTGTAAAAGAGATTAATAATCTCAACTCTTGAAACTGTGCCTGCAGTCAACCTACTTCACATATGGGGAGCAATATTATAGGCAGAAACATGGGTGTGCTATGGGGTCTCCAGTTTCTCCTATTGTTGCCAACCTGTACATGGAGGAGGTAGAAAAGAGAGCCTTGACGTCCTTTTCAGGGACACCACCAAGTCATTGGTTCAGGTATGTTGACGACACCTGGGTTAAAATCAAATCTCAGGAAGTCCAACATTTTACTGACCACATCAACTCTGTGGATAAATACATCAAGTTCACACGAGAAGATGTAAAAAATGGCAGGTTGGCTTTCTTGGACTGTGAGGTCTCAGTCTCTGATAGAGGACATTTGCAAACTGAGGTGTACCACAAACCCACCCACACAGACCAGTATTTGCAGTTTGACTCCCATCACCCTTTGGAGCACAAGTTAGGAGTCATCAGGACTCTGTA